AGGCTTTAGGCCAAGGTTAATTTACTAAGGATTTTGAATTTACTGAGGATTAACAATCATAGATTGAGCTGGAAGGAACTGTAGAGGTCACCTAGTCCTAACTCTTCACTTTACAGATGAGAAAACTGAGGCATAAAGAGGTTAAAAGTACTTTAGAAGGTTATCAGATACCTTCCCCAGCCTCCCCATGTCCTCCACTTTAAAGTCTCCTTTTTTGTGTGTTGGTTTCCCTCATCAGATTATAAATTCCTTGAGGGCAGGAATTGTCTTTCTTTTTTTCTTATTTGTATCCCCAGCATTTAACTAGTGCTTGTAATATAGCAGACACTTAATAAACGTTGATTGACTTACTGACTGAAGTGACCTGCTTAGGGTCACATAATGAATAACTGTCTGAGGCAAACATCAAAACCACAGCTCCATTCATTTCACCGTGCTGACTATCTGCCAGGGACCAGAAGAAAGCAACCTAATCATCTTTCTTTCCCAAGCCCAATCCCTACTGTATCAGAAAAATATGAATAAACGAAACAAGAAATGTTTCTCCCATATAATTGTTCTTGTTACATTCCCAATCAAGTGTTAGTAACCCAGCAAGTCCATCTAAGCTGACGTGCACAGCCACACAGATGTTCTGACTGTAGTTTGAAGCTGCAGATGAAAAGTAGAAATGGCACTGTCCGTCATATCATGCAATCTGTTGCAGAAAATCTCTAAAAGAAAACCTGTGAATAGCATATACATACATTTTCAGCTTTCCTAACAGGATGTCAGTTCTTAACCAAAAATACCCAACTGGTGCTTACAGATGCCTCTGAAAATCAGACTTCAAAATCAGAATGACAGTCAACTAGTAACTGTAGAGCTGCATACACCTTAGCAAAATGGGAGAAATTAGCTGAAAATAATGAACCTCTTAATTAGATAGGAGTATCTCTGCTGATCTATAATGCCGAACTCTATAGATTAAAGCATGCATTCTATCTGAGTTTGCACAGCAGTTTCTCTCCTTCCCAGGAGGCTCATCCCCGTGTTATTCGTATTTCAGTGCCTCCCCGCCCCCCACATGAAGGAACTGGAAAGACCTAATTGCTATACTGCTTCATGCCTGGCTCCCTGCTCTGGTGCACTGCTTAATCAGTCTCCTTTGACTAAAAATCCAATATCTCCAGCAAAAAGTCTATCATAATGCTTTGAAGTTATTTGCATCCAGCCAGAAGAACCTTTTAGTTCTAGTTCTAAATTAAGTACCTCAGTGGTTTCAATCCCCTGATCACTAAGTCAGTTGGATTTCATACCAATCACACCGGGCCTCAGCTACTTTTTAGTCACATCAGTGAATTGGTGCACGAAACTGACTGTATTGTAAATATCTTCGTTGTGTCGGATGAGGAAGGGAACTGATTCCAGGACAGTAAAACAGTTGTACAACCAATCACGGAAAGCTGCGTTTCTCAGTTTTCAGAGGGAGGAGTTCTTTTGGAAAAGCACATTTGCTGAAATCAAATTATATAGAGTGCAGCTTGTCATGTCCTTGGATATGCACTGGGGGGTCAAAATGCATACCTGAAGCGGAAATACATACTGGCCATTGTACTTGCCTGGCTGGCCCTGTCTAGGGAGGGATCTAAGCACTGCCCCTCCCCACCTTCATCCAAGCTATGAAGAGATTGCCCTGCCCGGCTAATAGCATTTCTTCATTTCACAAAGTTATCCAAATGTATTCCAATAATCATAGCCAATGGATTTGGTCCACTCTATCAGCCCCTTACACAAACCTCATAACCTACGGCCAGCAGCAAAAGTGAGCATCAGTATTTATCTCAAGGTGACACTTGTAATGGATGATTGCGGCACTTCTTAATCCATTTATGTAATCCTTGCTGCTGGCTTGCAGTTATTTTCAGGGCTTTTGCTGCGATAAAATGGTTCCTTTCCCAAGACAGAGTTCATTCAATTTAAGTCTGGATTGATTACAGCTAGACTACGGCATGTCTTTACTCAAGGGGGCAAAAACAGAAACAAAACAATGAATTATGTAAAATAAGTATTTTGTTCTTATTGAGCCCCTGTGGTATCCTGGACTTGGTGTATCACAGGGCAAGTTATACAGTCCCTACTTTTGCCAATGATGTAGCCCCATGACATATTACCAGATACCAAAAGTCACTTGTTTACCCCAAACACAATAAACACAAATGTGTGTATATGTATACATGTGTATGTATGTGTGTATATTATGTAATGTATATACATACACACACATACATATATGTGTGTATGTGTGTATGTATGCATATATATGTGCTTGTGTATAGCTTTCATTTAATATCACAGATAGATTTCTTGGACTCTCCATATTAATAAAGGGAGGTACTGTGGTACAGTGGAAACAGGGTGGCATCTGTAATCAGAGAGCATGGGTTTAAATCCCTGTTCTGCTACTTGTTACCTATGTGACCTCAGGCAATTCATTTAATCCCTCTGGGCCTCCTTTTCCCCATTAGTGAAATAAAGGGATTGAACAAATTGACCTCTTAGATCCCTTCCCACTCCAAATCTATGAACCTATGAACTTAGGGAGGAAGACAAAAGCTGATCTCCGTACTTTCCTTTTTCTTTATTTTCCTATGCCATCTTCTCTTTTAACAATAAAAGGTCGTTATAGGACAGTAAATTTAGAGAAGTCCATTTTCTGTGCATGTTTTCAATGATGCTAGTGACTTCAGCAGCATTACAAATAAAGGGGCAACTGACCATGAAGCATTTATAGGATTTAGAACTAGAGTTGAAGTCAATTCAGTGAACATTTGCTGATTACATACTATGTGCAAAGCCCTGGGAGAGACCTGAGACAGTGTCATTATTTCACAAGTGAAGAAATTGAAGACTTGCCCAAGGTGACAGAAGTAATGGGTAGCAGAGCTAGGATCTGAACCCACGTCTTCTGGCTCCTCTTCTAGTGCCCTCTTCACTACATCACTCTTGAGCATCCAGTACCTAGAATAATGCCTGGCACATAGTAGGCACTTAATAAATGTTTGTGGATTGAAAGAACATGTAAAAACAGATCTCAAAGAGATGAGTCTTGACTTTTACCCTGGGTCCTGGGAAATAATCCATTTCTTCCTGCCTAAGGAGAAAACTGTCTAAAACCTGACCACCCTGAGATACTCTAGCATTGGAGCTAGAGATTAGACCATGTTTCAAGGATGCCTCAGGTCATAGAATCTTTAAATTATAGATCTAGAACTGGAAGGAAATACAAAGGTCATCTAGTCTAACTCTCTGCTCCCCTCCACCTCCTTATTTTGTAGCTGCATAAACTGAGGCCAGGAAGATTCAGTGACCAGCCGAAAGTCAGATTGAGAATGTCAGAGATGGCAACCAATGGCCAACCCATATCACCAAATTTTGTGCATTCTTTGAATGGGGTTCCTTCCTCCCTAGAAATGCATCCAGACTTTTTATCACTGCTTAAGTGAATTGCATTAAGGAATGGTGACTACATCCAGTGGAATTCAAGTGGAATTACTCCCAATATTTTTCTCGTAGGAATATTTGAAATCACATCCCTATCTCCAAAGGTTTTAGGTGGATGAATGGATGGATGCGATGGATGGATGGATGAAGGGACAAAAGTGTATGTTTCAACATTTTAAGACTATGGGTTGAAAAATATTGAAACAGAAAATAATTTTATTTCACATAAATAAATCACTTTGATCAGTTCAGGAGTTTGGAGAATTGTTTCTTAGTAGACACAACTACCCCCAAACAGCTGAGGCTGTTAGCCAAAATTAATAAATGACTCCATTTGTATGTATGAATGGTGACTCATCACATTAACAAATGCAGGAGTTATTGATCAATTGCTTCCTGTAAAGCCAGCGGAGTGCAGGTACACACACACACACACACACACACACACACACACACACGCACACACACCCTTTGCTGCAGCCATCTCCCTACCTCTGTTCTCATTGGACACATAACTTCATCCCTTCAGATTCAGGCTCTCCCTTCCCTCCAAGGTGACAATTAAATGGACAAGCTAATTATACTGATGTACTAATAGAAAAAGGCTTGAAGAACTCCTCAGGATCCTCCCTTCTATTACTATACCTCAGTGTGGTGGGCAGGGAAAGATCTTGATCCATGCCTTTGGATTTCAGACCTTTCTTTTCTATTTGTATATCCAACACTTGGCACAATGCTTGGTACATGGTAGGCATTTAATAAATGCCTTTCATTTCTATTTCCCCCATATTCATTGTAGCAAGGGGTCTTAATGAAGGCATTGACATGATAGAAACTTGTATTTCCAAATAAAATAAATATATAAACCAGTACACACAGGTAGATATAAAACATTATTAAGGGAACCCCATGTGGAAATCCCTTCTACCTGTTCTGATCAGCAATACATCTATATATTATAACTTCTAATATTATAAGGAGTGATCTAGGACCCCTGAAAGGTTAAGTGACTTGTCTACAATCACATAGTTAATATGTTTCAAAGTCAGGACTTGAATTCAGGTCTTCCTGACCTAAGGCTCACTCTTTATCTAAAATATGACTTTTCTCCCTTAAAAAAATAATCAAGTTCCCTCCTAAAATGATCTCAGTATAATTTCTACTATCTATAGATTGTGGTAAAGCATTTCAAAAATTAGCAATTTTCATTTTGCCTTTTTTTTAAACTTTGCATTGCAGAGTAAGTCATCTCCACCACACCCCCAAACGCAACCACACCCCCCAGAAAAAATTTATTGGATGAAAAATGACTTAAAAAATTTGAGCCTGTTACAGATCTTGGCCAAGCTTTTTATTATTTTTAGAGGGCAGATAAGATCCTGAGAGAAATAAGTCTTATTTGTTAGGTGTGTAGAATAGTGGGCTTGCATCCAAGGACTGAACTGGCCCTCTAGACACACATGCTTTCACTTGCATTCTTAAAATACATGTACACACATATGTTGTTTGCTTTGCAGTGGACCTGGACCGGCTGAATGATGATGTCAAACGCTACAGTTGCACCCCAAGGAACTACTCTGTCAATTTGAGAGAGGAGCTCAGGTTGACCAATGTCGTTTTCTTTCCACGATGCCTTCTCGTCCAGCGCTGTGGTGGGAACTGTGGCTGTGGATCTAACAACTGGAAATCCTGCACCTGCACTTCAGGGAAGACTGTGAAAAAGTACCATGAGGTATTTCCTCAGGGCCTTTCTTTGTTGGGATGCTGGGCTCTGCTCTTTTCATCTATATCAATCATGAAGAGAGCATGGAATGATAGAGTGCTCTGACTCACATTATCACTCACTTTAACTTCTGGGGATCTCCACAGATTACTTTGGGTCCCTCCTGGAAGACATCATTTGTCTCTTTATTTCTAGGATGTCACTGCAACTTCTAGGCTCTTAGAAGCAATGGGCAATATCCAAACTTTTGTTCATTAAGTCTAACACTAAGCACAATGAAGACTACAGAGATAAGTCACCAGTGAGACCTTTGCTCACTCTGGATGTACTTTCAATATCAAAAAAAAAAAAATAACATCTTACTTTATAATAGGAACTGGGGATAGGGACTGGACCTACAATTTCACTATGATGAACTCCCTAGTGAGAGAACTCCCCCTACCAGTGCAGTTGATTCTACAACCTTTAGTCTTAGAGAGTTGCCTCAATGGAACAGAGAAAGGTTAAATGACTTTGCTAGAATCACAGAGCTAGTATGTGTTAAAGGTGGGACTTGAACTCTGGTCTTCCTGGCTTCAAGTGTGGCTCACTGTTCACTGTCACACTATTTTATCACAAGAAAAGTGTTAGCTTTTGGAGATCTGATTTGCTGTGAGTTGATAAGTTCTTCCTAGCCTCTAAGGAAACATAGAAGACCCCAGATTAGTTCAGATAATGTTTTCTGTCCTCAAAAAGTCTTCTAAGTATATGAAAATGAGGTTGCAGATGAATATGATTATGTTTGGTTTACTTAGGAGTAACCACATTATTTCAGGCTCTATCAGACGTTGCTAGTTTGTTATTTTCTTGGCCAAAATAATGTCTACTTCACCCCACAGTTTTCCAAGGCAGACACTCATATCCAGAGAATGCAAAGGTTTGTCCAGCCATTTGCCAATCTTTGTTCTTCATTGCACTTTATGACTTAATGAACTCAGAATTGGATGCTGTCCTTCACTTCTAAGAACCTGGATTTTGTGGCATTTAGTCATACCCTGAGGATAAAAATCCAGTCAGAGCTGGAACTAAAATAATCTGTGAAATAACCATGTCTCAAGTTGGTAATAAATTTGAGTTATAGCCCTCAGTGCCCAGGACTTTGATGTTATTGTACAGGCTTATTTTCATTTATATTCCATCCCCAGTCACCAGAGTATCATAGAATCCTAGAATGTTAGAGCTGGAATGAACTTGAGAAATTCTGGAACCCACCCCATTCATTATAAATATGGAGAAACTTGGGCCCATTGAGGTGAAATTATTGGCTCAAAGTGACAGAGCTAGTTGACGGAAGAACTAGAACTGGTTCTCAGGTGCTAAACACTCTTTAACGTGTGTGTGTGTGTGTGTGTGTGTGTGTGTGTGTGTGTGTGTGTGTG